GACCCAATCTCACCACAATTAGGTCGTGAACTAGGGATATACTATATTCCCTTTCAATAGGTTGCACATATATGCACGCTTGGTCGATATATCGATGGTCACACACGTGCCACCCAAACATCACCTAGGTGGGCATCCTAATTGGCAGGGGATGGTCACCTTGACCATCAATTAGGTCTCTAGATCATTTATCTACACTAACCATGCCAAACCGCTCAAATCCACAACCTCTGCAACAAAAACCTAACTAGGAAATCGAATATAGCATATGGAGAGACAATTTTAAATGCATAAGAACACTAGGAAAACACTTTTCATTCACAAACCCTAACAAAATTCCTTTTACATAACAAAACCTAAAACTAGGGTTTAGTCTAGTATCTTGAGTAACTACCCCATAAAGAGGGGAGAAAAGACATGGAAGAATGGAGAAGAATACAAGAGATGGGGATTTGGAGAGAATCCCTACCTTCTTGGCTCCTCCTTCTTTTCCTTCTCTTCTTCTCTTTCCTTCGACTTCTTTCTCTAAACTCTCTCTAAAATCGTAAATTCAACCAAATGTCTAGACTCTCTTTGAAAAGGGGAAGGGTCTTCTATTTATAGACTTCAGAAGCACGAACCAGTTAGCAGTTGAGGACTAGGAGTTCGCGAGCATGAACATCAGAGGGAAGGCCACGATCTTGAAAGGCAGTGTTTTTCTCTGCTGGCTCAAAAGTTCGTGGTCTGACTTCGTGATTGCGATCCGAAAGTCACGGCCATGATCTTTCTCGCGGTCTTGGACAACAGAGTCTACAAGTAAACTATCAAAACCTTATGTTCATTCATTGGCTGCTGATTCCTCAAGTTCATGGTTGGCCCTTTATAAATAGATGGCGCGATCTTTGCTCCAGAGACCGCAATCTTTTGCTTTACTCTGTGGCTCCTCTTCTCGGCCATGATCTCCGCCCTTATGTCGTGATTTTCTTGCTTTGTCCTACACTTGTGCCTAATTTTGTGCCTAAAAGAAAGTATCGTCTAATGCACCCTAATAGGACATGAAATACTTCGAGCTATAAATTCGGGATGCAAATGACCATATATTAACCATTGAGACCATATAATGACATGAAAACACCTAAAATATGGAGGCTAAATAATACCAATTCGGATTTTATCAACTCCCCCACACTTAGGCATTGGCTTGTCCCCAAGCAAACATACTCAAATCGGTACAACTTGGTAAACAATCAAAATGGTATGCTTTGTAGTTCTTTGATTGCACTTAAAGAATAATCAGGGTCGAGTAAGCTCTACTTCCATATCTTTAAGACAACACAATATCGGGCGAGGACGGTGTCGACTATACCAGGTTAGAGACATTTCAGGTGTGCACTGAGGGACTCTCAAACAAACATTGAAAATGCAGTGGACTCATCGGTGGTGCTTTTATTATTTTTTCAAAATAGATTCAAACTTTGAGCCTCAATATTACATTGCCGAACATGGCACCATATTTTGCATTTTTGCAAATAAGGCATATCTCCCTTGTGGCTAAGAAACTCATTTTCTAGCTCATGTTTTAATATGTCCGATAGGAGACTATGACAAGAAGTATCTATTGTAGTGAGACTAAAGAGAAAGTTTTCAATTATGAGCATTGTTGGTGATCTTGAGAAATTTTCTAAAATTTCATAGCGATCAAACAATCCTTGCTCCCATTTGACCCATGGGTCAAGGTTCACAATTGACCACCATGAGTCAAGGTTTTGATTGTTCACCCATGGGTTCCATCTATCTAATTGACAGGCCTCGATGACATACCAAACATTGAAGAAAGGCCACCTTTATTGAGATTTTTCCAAAAATAGCACTGTTTAAAAAAAATCTAAAAATAGCACCCAACTCCGAAAAATCCCAAAAATAGCACCCTTTTTGTAAAACCGCCACCCGAGGGCGCGTTTTTCGATGAAAATCGCACTGGTAGGGGGCGGTTTTGCAGACCGCACCCCCACCATGCGGTTTGTTTGCAGACCGCACCCCTACGATGCGATTTGTTTGCAGACCGCACCCCCATGATGCGGTCTGTTTTTTTTTTTTTTTTTGAAAAATCCTAACCTAGGTGGAAACTTCAAACAAACGTATCTTTATGTTCGGGTATCCGATCGTCGCGATTTTTTTTTGGTTCTGCATAACTTTTTGAGATCTTGCAATTCGGAGACTGCCAAAGGTGGTTTGGTCCCGCCTTCGTCCCAAAAAATGTCGTTTGCTACCCCGAACGAACTTTTTTCCGATTTCGTCAAACTTTGGACAACCATAACTTTGTGCTCCAAAATCCAAACGGCATGATTTTTTTTTATTTCGCATAAATTTTTAAGGAATACAACTTTTATCATAGACATAATTTCAAAATGTACGTGGATTGCTGAGAAGGGAAGATAAGCTATTCCTAAAATCCTGTATATCCAAAAATAATTCATGTTTTGAAAATTCATTCCTAGTAAAAATTGGAGTTCTTAAAAAGTTATGCGAAATAAAAAAAAAATTCATGCCGTTTGGATTTTGGAGCACAAAGTTTCGGTTGTCCAAAATTTGACGAAATCGGAAAAAAGCTCGTTCGGGGTAGCAAACGACATTTTTTGGGACGAAGGCGGGACCAAACCACCTTTGGCAGTCTTCGTCTTGCAAGATCTCAAAAAGTTATGCGGAATAAAAAAAAATCGCGACGATCGGATACCTGAACATAAAGATACGTTCGTTTGAAGTTTCCACCTAGGTTAGGATTTAAAAAAAAAAAACTGACCGCATCGTGGGGGTGCGGTCTGCAAACAAACTGCATCGTGGGGGTGCGGTCTGCAACCAAACCGCATGGTGGGGGTGCGGTCTGCAAAACCGCCCCCTACCAGTGCGGTTTTCATCAAAAAACGCACCCTCGGGTGGCGGTTTTCATCGAAAAACGCACCTCCGGGTGGTGGTTTTACAAAAAGGGTGCTATTTTTTGAATTTTTCGAAGTTGGGTGCTATTTTTGAATTTTTTTTTGAACATTGCTATTTTTGGAAAAATCTCACCTTTCATCTTATCTCGCCTCGAGGGACATGACAAATAGAAGACAATGAGGAAGAAAGGAAACGGTATTCCTAAGCCATCATACATCTACACTGCTCAATTACATTCGTTTAGGAATACATAAAAGAGAGGCATAAGTCTTGGACTGAGTGCAAACAAAGAAGAATAGATATCCAAGAAATAAAATTGAACATGCCATCTGTTATGGAATAGGGGGTCAAATCTACTTGGTAGGTAACTAGGATCGTATTCCCTCAAGGTCTTCCAAATAACACTACTTAGATAGCGATGACTTTGCTCTTTAATTGAAAATTAAGTTTTTGGGGTTGAGGTGCCACTCAAATTACTTTGTATAAAGAAAAGTGCATAAATGAAATAAAACTGAAACTAGACAAGGAAAGCAATAAAGAAAGAAAGGCGCTGCATAGGCAAGCATCCTCTAGAATTTTCTTAAACGGGTATCATAACAATTGGCGACATACAAATAGGCGACAGACAAAATTCACACAGATTCCTTCATAGACTATTCTTCTTGTCCTAACATCTATCGATGGATCTCTCTTTCTGAGATGGACTAGTAAGACAAGTGGGTCTGTCAGCTAGTCATATATATTTCAAATATCTTCAACTAAATGCCCAAGAAAGGAATATCTTACCAGATTAAAGTCGAAATGGACCTTCTATAAAATGGTGCACGAGGCGCCATTTTGGCTTATGGTCAATAATTTGGCCATCAATTTGGGCTCAAGATCTAGCTTTGACGTCAAGCTCACTGGTCCCGGTTTCTCCAGCTCGTACAAAGTGGTCCACTAGGTGTCGTAGTCTGGAAAATGTATAAAATACTAACCAAAAGATATTAAATGTAAAAAAACATCCCTAGAGGCAATTAAATACACCTTTGAGCAATTACAAAACGAATCTCAATCAATATGGCTAAATATACGTAGAAAAGTGTAAAACATGCCATGAAAATGAGGCTATAAAATGTATATTTAAGTATCATGAACACGAAAAGGAGAAATTTGCATAGAAGAGGGAAATGCATGTACGTGAAGCGAGAAATTGGGCTACTGATAATAGTGAGGGAAGCGACACTGCTTCAACAAAACAAGTTTGTTCTACAAAATGATTTGTCCAAAATGACGACAAGAAAGAAGAACTTTTGGAAAGTAAGACAAAATGACTTTCTAAGATACAATCAGGATGATCCCAACTCTACTCCGAACTATTCATATAACGTGAGGCATAGCTGAGGTGGAGATCAAAATGGAGGAGATGCAAGTATAGGATGAGTTGGAAACATACTAGGAGATGCAGGGATTTACTATTATTCTCAACTCGATTAAAGACATGTTATGTCTTTCATCTTGAATATATATTATTCTAAAATCTCATGTGTAATTTTGAATTTTGTTATTTTATCTTTATTATTTGTGTGTATTATGTTTTTTTATAGACGTGGAAAACAAGTAGATTAGTGTAATAAACATAATGTAAACTCATATGAATTAATAGCTATTTATTGCAAAAATAAATTTGTTTAATTAAAAAAATTTATATAAAAATGATGACAAACTATAAAAAATATTAAAGTGAACAAAATATTTTTATAATAAAGTGAAAAACTTAATTTGCCAGGTTGTAAAGTTTAAATAAAAAAGTAAATTGAGGAGCTAAATATGAGTACTCGAAGAGATGTAAAGCTAAATTGAAGAGAAAGGGTTTGAGACTTGGAGTTAGCCTAACATCTCACCACCACAAATTTCAATTAGGGTTAAGCAAAGCCGGCGGATTATCCAAAGTACCCGAGTTTTTGCATCATCTACTGATTCGACAAACTCGTTTTGGCGTTCTCCCGATTCTCTTAGGACGAAACTACGACATTATGATCCGTAGATCCCAACGAAATGCGATGCTTACAAAATTAAATAATAAACTAGAAAAAAAAAAAAATTAACAAAACCCCACGGGAAAAAGCCAGCCCCGAGAGAGCCAAAAGCGTCACTTATAGACTATAATTATGATGATGATTACAACACTCGCTCTTCTTAAATCTTGTGCACCCATTTTCCCCCTTTCTCTTTATCTCCGCATTTCCATCGATCTCGCTTCGAGCTCCTGCTTCAATGGCGACCTCCTGTGCTCCCGTTTCAATCTCAGGTAATAATACTTCACCGTCGCGCCGCTTCTTCTCTTTCCTACTCTATTCAGTTTCACCTCTCTGCTGCTCTGCCGTCCTTGCTGTTTCGTTTGAACTCGCGCGAGACTTGGTTTCTCCTTCGCTTTATGATTTGTTATTCTGTGGAAACGTGATTCCAAAGTGTTTGTTGGCTCTGATTCGTGTATCTACGCTGGAGAAATGCGATTCCAGTTGCTTCCACGGTGACGAATTTCTGTACTGAAATCGTCGGCTGCTGTTAGTTTCGGCGTGGCCCTAAACCTTCTGTTTGTGTCGATGGAAATTTGGGAAGAACTAAGAGATAGGTGGGACCGGAAAAGGAAAGAACATCGTGGAGTTCATATCTTTTTTGTTCTTTGTTTTTTCTCCCTTAGTTTCTGGATGATAACAAGGGAGAAGGTGCGTTGTTGAATATTTTTAAGGGATTAATGAGCAGTGTAAACTTGGGATAAGTATGAGATTTCTGGTTCTCTTTTATTTTTGCTCCATTGCTGGTTAGACAAAAGAGAGAGACTGATCTCGTGGCCATTGCTTTTTTTATGTGGTTCAAGGTGTATCTCATCTAAGGACAAGTGAGCTAGGTTCGAGAAAGGTTGATGTGTTCGGGAAGTCGTCAAAGCTGATTGTGCAGAGGAAATTTAACCAACTCCCAGCAAACCAGAAACTCTCAGTTCGTGCAGAATACGGGTAAGTTGTTTCGTGTAACATGCTAAGTTTGTAGGCTGTTCAAGTTTATCTTTTCCTCACCTCATAGATCCGTTGAAGTCATTGGCGAATGATCTGCTTAGCAGTTTGTCTCTGGAAATTAGAACAATTGGTAAAGGGATGCTTGTATTCTCGGTCGCTATGTGCACTATTGAGATATCGGTAATTTCAAGTGGGATTGGAAACTGTTAAAGTTATCAAGTTTATCACATGGCAATTGCTGAAATTTTGCTTGATGGTCATACTTCCATTTTAGCTTTAACCAATTTAGATTGGTTATCACTTACTGTTTTTAGGTAGTGAATGAAATTCATTTTAGTAACCTATTGGGTGACACTGAAGATACAGCGGCGTTGCAAGCATCTGTGCCTCATCTTATGCTCTTATAGAACATCTAACATTGTCAAAGATTGATGTTCTCAATCTGCTCACTAGTCCGAATATTGCTATGTAACCCTTGGGATCTAATCAGCTCAGTACATCTCATGTTATCTTTCATGCAAAGCACCTTATGCTTTACCAGGCCTGCAGCAACATAATATGGTGCTTGATAATGTAAATAATTCGGTTGTCTTAGGCTCTTAGCATATATGAGTTTTCGTATTTGGAGTTGCCTGCCTATCTTATGTTCTCATTCTGTGTTTAGTCCTCTATTCTGAATTGTTTCTACGTTTGCTGAGTGCAGTAATAACAGGGGTGGTGGTGGCGGAGGCGATTTTGCTGCTGGTTTTCTCTTAGGAGGGGCCATATTCGGAACTTTAGCTTATGTGTTTGCTCCTCAGGTGATTGAGTACCTCCCTTCATTCTTTAGAAGTTTGTTGCCAGTGTCCTGGTAGAGTTTTAAGTGCAAGGTGCCATCCAAGATAGTTCCAGCTAATAGATTGAAGGATCCATTTTCTGAATAGAGTGCTAGGGCCTTCTGTTCCTTATTTTCACTGTTTCATCATGTTTCAGCGCCATGCATATAGAGGGAAAGAAAAAAAAAATTGAATATCAGGATTGTTGAAGTCAGTAATGCCATGACCTTCTTGCTCCAGTGGCAGTATGGTTCATGCTAGTCCATTTGACCTGGTATTCTTTTTCTGGGCTTCCATTATTTTAGATAAGAAGATCTCTACTAAACGAGGATGAATATGGGTTTCGCAAAGCCAAGAGACCAATTTACTACGACGAAGGCTTAGAAGTAAGCAAAGTTCGTTCTGGTTTCAATACATTTTGTTTGTGCAGTGTGACAATTCAATTTATTTTCTGTGGAGCAGAAGACAAGGCAGACGCTGAATGCAAAAATCAGCCAGCTGAACAATGCCATCGACAACGTGTCCTCTCGCCTGAGAGGTGGCAGTGGCAATAACAGTGCGACTTCGGTGCCCCTTGAAACAGATCCAGAGGTCGAAGCCACCATGTGATCTCTCGATTGCGGTTTCTGTTTTTCTGCTTCCTTATATGTTTGTTTCCCAGAAATATACTTCGGTTGAGGTTGCTAGGCCGGTTGCCTGTTGCTTTTTTTGTCTACAAAATTCTGGGAGATGTGGTTTTTGTAGTTTGTACTTGTTTTAAGCTTCCCGGACGATTACATTGTCATTTTCATCGAATGAGGGTATGCATATTGCATAATTCAGAATACTACGAAAGAGCTACAGGTCTTTCTTTTTCTATCTTAATTCTTCCATCTGGTGTGATGGCATTTCTATTTTCATATAGTTTCCTTGGTTTTGTCAATGGGCCTGAAAAACAGAGTTAGGTTATCCGGTGTGAGCAGCAAGTAGGCAAATAAGAAAGAATGAACATCAAGTGAGGGGAAGATTAACATAAGCTGAAGGAACCAGATATCTAGGCCTTGTGTCGGGGTGTCTGACCGATAATTTCTGGTATATATGTCGAGAAAGCCCCTCAACAAGTACTTTTTTTCTGTAAAAAAGACAAGCAAGTTATAGGTGGTTAGGTCTAAGAGATAAAGATGCAAATGAATGAATGGTTATGAACTTATGATAAGATAAGATCCGAGCTCGTGGAAATTTAGGTTCTTTTGTTATAGTTACGGAGCAACAACTCAAGGTTGGATAGCTCGAATCGATACGTGGAGACAAAAAAAGGGATACGTGGAGATAGATACTCGCCACAATCAAGTGTGATCGCTTGATTGATAAGAGTCTTGCCAAGCTTTTCTGAAATCTTCAAGAGAAAAACTCAAAACAAGGATCTTGCACTAGCTATGGAATCCACCAATAGCTAAAACAATAAACCATAAGCACGCCGGTCTCTCCCTCAACTTCCCCTATCGGGGATTCTGCAAGTCTGGTCGGGTTTCTCTTCTGGGCGGAATCACATCAGGTTACAATATAGATGTTTATGAATCTTCTTAGACAAGTAATTTAGATTTGTTTAGTTCTAAGATATCAAGTGGAGAACCATGTTTTAGGAACCGTAGCCTACTGCCAGGTCGGGCCGAAAAATATTGGGTTCCGAACCCCAAATGAAAGGCGATTTTAATAATATGAAATGGTTTAACCATAGTTAAACCACAGTTTTAGTATAAACGATTCAACCTCCTGCATTTTCTAGCACAACATATGGTACAGTTTCCAATTTTTGATAGAGAAGGTGAATAGCCAATTATGCTTTCATATCTTAGAATGAGATATTTACTGTAGATCAATCCCATAGCCTTCTTGCCCTTCTTACAAGCATATCAACGATTTGCCACAACCTTTTTTCTAAGCTTGCCAAGCTCATATCACAAAACAATGAAACATACACATATATCTGCCTAACTATGATCCCTCTCTTTGCTCCGACCCAAGCTCTTCGTGAACATTAGCTACAATCTTTTCCATAATATTCTTGGAGTCTTTCATGCAGAGTTACCATCAGTCTCTCTCTCTGAATGAATTTCAAAGGTGACACTCCAGCTCATTAATTTTGAGGCCCTCCTCTCGCTAGATACCTCAAACTTTGGTGTTGGCCTTTTTAAGAGTTTCGAGAGCATCCTCCTCCTTCTTGGTTGCCACCTTTTCTATGTCCTTGACATTGTCATAAATCTAGCCACCTACAAGTAAACATGAAAAAGGCATTCAAGGCTGCTTACTCTTTCTTTATTTCCTTCTACAAAGTTTGTGGCAGAGGAATGGAGTTACTTGAGATGATGACAATCAATTTGTGTGTGTTCGAGCTCCCCATAGGAATGTTTTGGTCCAATTGATTTTTTGGAGTTCAGTTTGATAAATTTCAGGTAATAACATCGTATAGAATACAGAGGGTCTAGATCTGGCTCGTTTGCTTGTTGGATTTGAAAATGAAGGTTTTGAGTTTTAAAAACCTTTGGATTTATGATGGATTTGTTGCATCATGGATTTGGAAGAGTACATTGTTTGTTTAGTTGATTTTTTATCATGGATTTATGATGGATTTTGTTTCAGCCAAGAAACAAGGAAGGCGCCCAACCTGTGAAAGTGCGGGGTTGGCCCCGATTATCTACACTCCGACGATCAACATTAGTGAACTTATAAGGGAATAGGAAGAGCAAAGATAGAGAGAGATTGTATAGAGAGATAAGTGATATCCCAAAAATGAGAAGGAGAGGAGAGATCCCCTTACTTGGAGTGCTTAGTAGTGTATTTATAGGCCAAGCTTGCTTTCTCCATGTGGGCTTTAGTTGTAGGATCATGAAGGTACCTTGTGGGTTTGGGCCCATACATACTTGGTGGATTGTAGTTGTGGTTTGGGCTGGGCTAAGCCATGTTTAATGAATCTCCAGATAGGTTCATAGGGCGCCATAACCTTGTGGGACGTCGAAAGAGAAGTAAGTTTAGGTGTAATACAAATAAGTCCTCAACTGGGAGCCTAAGATGTCGTGATTTTGTAGACGTCATGGGTACAATACGTTACTTGCCACAATTTGAGTTAATTCTTTTATGAGTCATATCATGTTTTATTGTTGATTCTTTGCAAAGTTCTTATTTCGAGATTGTTCGGCCAACATGATGTTGGGGGACATGAGTCAGCTAAACCAGGGGACAAGATGGCGCTTAAGCAATCAAGCGTTCAACTCTAAGTTCGTAGTAAAGTCTGCAAGGCAAAGACTTCTAGTTAGGCATCCAGTTCGCTACTGGATACCTAACTGGGGGACAATTGTTGGGCCATTAAACATGGCTTAGCCCAGCCCAAACCACAACTACAATCCACCAAGTATGTATGGGCCCAAACCCACAAGGTACCTTCATGATCCTACAACTAAAGCCCACATGGAGAAGGCAAGCTTGGCCTATAAATACACTACTAAGCACTCCAAGTAAGGGGATCTCTCCTCTCCTTCTCATTTTTGGGATATCACTTATCTCTCTATACAATCTCTCTCTATCTTTGCTCTTCCTATTCCCTTATGAGTTCACTAATGTTGATCGTCGGAGTGTAGATAATCGGGGCCAACCCCGCACTTTCACAGGTTGGGCGCCTTCCTTGTTTCTTGGCTGAAACAATTGGCGCGCCAGGTAGGGGCGAAACAAGTGATTAGTATTTTATCTAATATGGAGGAAGGCGCCCTTCGGGGTTGAGGCGCTGAGCTTGGTTCTTGGGTTCCTCGTCTTCATTTTGGCCAAAGAGAAATCAACACCTGGACAGTTCAGTTACTGTAGTGGGCTCGCGAGACATGAACTGAGCGCCTAATTGGGGTGTGAGCTGGGCAAGTATACGGTGGCGTGGATGCTAAACTTGTAATTGCATGGGATGGCGCATGATCAAATATTAAACAATGGCACCGCATTCTCTCTTTTTCATGGCGCTCGACGCATATCATTTATACTATGGCATGCTCCCTTCAACCACAATAGTAATTGTAGCTTAACGGCAATGGTGCTTTGTGGAGAGGCGTCTTCCGTCTGGTCCGAATTCCTTCGCCGACTTTCTTTTAATCTGTTTGGTTGGGCGCTAGGTTTGAGTTCGCCTCAAAGCAGTGCGGCGCGGGTTTGATTTCCATGCGCTACGTCTCTGGTTGGGTGTAGCTGCCACTTGCGTGCGCATGGCTCTGAAATCTTGAGCTTTCGGTGAGGGAATCTAGCGTTTGGGGGGTATTCGCTCTCCTTCCATCACAAAATGCCAAAGTATCAGAATCAACAAAATGGGCATGACGCTCGAGAGGCATGCCTGGTCTCCACCGGTTCATTATTCCTCCATTTTGGCAGCGCCTCAATTCTTTACTCGGCGCCTCTTGCGCCAACAATTTCTTACGATGCAGCACCGAATCGGAAAATCTTGAATGGCGCTGCTTTAATTCAAAGAAGATGGGGACGACTGAAGCCGAAAGCGAAGATAAATGGTAGTAGACGCCCAGGACTCCAATTTCCTCTATGAAAGTGAAAGAAGTGGCTACAAGCGGCTGGAAAAATTATTAAATAAAAAAAATAAAAAATAAAAGTTCTTCGTCTGGGGCACAAAACAAAAATTGCCCAGGGCTGGGCGCTCAAGGAGAAGAAGCGTAATCATAGGCGCCTGGACGTTTGGCTAAGCCCCAACGATATTATGCTTTGTTGTTTAATAGGCGCCTGGACCTACTCAACTGGGCGCTCCTCAATTTGGAAGAGCCAAGAAAGGGAAGCAAAATTTAAGAGGCGCCTGCAAAACCAGAAGCCCCTTGTACATTTTACCGTCGGTCGCTCTTTGCGAGGCTTTATACTAGCATGTGATAAAGTTTTGCTTGAATCGCCAAGCAGGGATGTGACAAAGACACAAAGTGCTCTGCTGTTCGCCGAAACTCCCGCCTTTCATATTCGATCATTGCCCAGGGAAGTGTCATGCTAAAGGCGCCTCTCTACCTCAGTCTGGAGAATTAGAAGGAAGCAACTAGTGAAGAATAATAAAAGTACAAAGAAAGAATAGACAAAATAGGCACATGCAATTCCCAGTTAAGGGAGAAGAAGATGCGGCAGTAGAGAGAAGGCACCAGCCAAACCAGTAGCCTTTTGTGGCCAATGCGCCCAATCGAAGAATTATTTGATTAAGGATTCGGATCCGGCGCCTTCACAGGAGCTGTCAAGCGTTTCAACAATTCATCTCTAACCTTGCGCCAAGATTTAGGGCGCCCAATATTATTGACTGGGAATAAACACAGTCAAAATTATGCTAAGTGCTCTCACCAAACTGAAGGCTCGGATGAAGGCGCCTATAGTCATCATCAAATACTGTAGAGGGCGGCGTTCGGGATGGCGGTGGATGACGACAAGGAGGCGGAGTTCAGGGAGATCGTTTCGGGGCTTTGCGAGGCGCTGGGCGGTTTCGCCGGGTCGGATCTGTTCCCTTCGGTCAAGTTCCTTCCGGCGTTGACCGAGTTCCGATCCCGCCTCACCAAGTTGCATCAAGGCGCATAATTGCATCTTGCATCCAAATTGAAAGAAAACGACAGCTGGGCGCCTGAAACTGAAATTAGAGTTAGAAACAAAGTGATAGCTTAGACAAAAAGCTCCATAATGAAGAGAAGAAGGTTAGGAGGAGGCGCATGCAAATAGGAAGAAGAGACTCTTAAGTGGAAGCAAGTGCAAAAAGCCCAGATTGGGGTGAAGGAAGAAATTCCAATTTTGTTGGCGGAACTGGCAATCTTGAAAAAGTTCGCGCATATATACATATATATATCTTGCGCCCGATCGACATAGAA